TCTCTTCCAGGCTCTGGCTGAACCTCTGAAGGCGCCTGCTGGAGATTTCTGGGAACAAGGAAGCTGTAGCTGATCATATCAATTATACAAATGAGCAGAGAATTGTTTTTTTTATTATATTTATTAAGATTTTCAATGTTTTACAAAACACACAAAAATAAAGAAAAAAAACAAGAAAAAATACATAGTAAAAATATTTAAAAACAATTCTTTCCTTCCATTACTTGACCTTCATTTGCTTATTTCCAGGACCTCCTCACACCTTCCTTTTTTGTATTCCAGTTCAGTTATTTTGTTCAGCAAATCCCTCCCCTCTTTTAGTATCCTAATCATTAATCATAAAAATATTGTAATTTTAGATTTTTACATATTACATAATAAACCCTTTTTTCATCTTCGCTTGTAACCTTTCAGCTAAAGACCACTTAGTTTCTATCCAACATCATTCTAACATTCATCAATTTTACAATATTTCTGTAAATAATCTTTAAACTTTTTCCAATCTTCCTCCATTGACTCTTCTCCCTGGTCTCGGATTCTGCCAGTCATTTCCGCCAGTTCCATATAGACCATCACCTTCATCTGCCATTCTTCCAAGGTGGGTAGATCTTGTGTCTTCCAATACTTTGCAATAAGAATTCTTGCTGCTGTTGTAGCATACATGAAGAAAGTTCTGTCCCTCTTTGGCACCAATTGGCCGACTATGCCCAGGAGAAAGGCCTCTGGTTTCTTCAAGAAGGTATATTTAAATACCTTTTTCAATTCATTATATATCATTTCCCAGAAAGCCTTAATCTTTGGGCACGTCCACCAAAGGTGAAAGAAAGTACCTTCATTTTCCTTACATTTCCAACATTTATTATCGGGCACATGGTAGATTTTTGCAATTATCATTTTCATAATATTCTCTCTTAAGGCATTACGTGCCGTAAATTTCATACCTGTGGTCCACAACTGTTCCCAGTCAGCAAACATGATATTATGTCCTAAATCTTGTGCCCATTTAATCATAGCAGATTTCACAGTTTCATCCTGAGTATTCCATTTCAACAACAAGTTATACATTCTTGACAAAATCTTAGTATTGGGTTCTAACAATTCTGTTTCCAATTTTGATTTTTCCACCTGGAAGCCAATTTTCTTATCCAAATTATATGCCTCCATTATCTGATAGTAATGAAGCCAGTCTCGCACTTTGTTTTTTAGTTTCTCGAAACTCTGCAATTTCAATTTGTCTCCTTCCTGTTCCAAAATTTCCCAATATTTCGGCCATTTGGCCTCCATATTGAGCCTTTTCTGAGCCTTTGCTTCCATCGGTGACAACCACCTAGGGGTTTTGTTTTCCAATAAGTCCTTGTATCTTATCCAGACATTTAACAATGCTTTTCTGACTATATGGTTTTTAAATGCTTTATGTGCTTTAACCTTGTCATACCACAAATATGCATGCCACCCAAAAACATTGTTGAAACCTTCTAAATCCAAAATGTCTGTGTTTTCAAGAAGCAGCCATTCTTTCAACCAGCAGAATGCTGCTGATTCATAATAGAGTCTAAGGTCTGGCAGGGCAAATCCACCTCTATCCTTTGCATCGGTTAGTATTTTAAATTTTATTCTAGGCTTTTTGCCCTGCCAGACAAATTTTGAAATATCTCTCTGCCACTTCTTGAAACAGTCCATTTTGTCCACAATTTGCAATGATTGAAAGAGAAATAACATTCTTGGCAATACATTCATCTTTATAACAGCAATTCGGCCTAACAAGGAAAGCTTCAAGTTTGACCATATCTCTAAATCCTTTTTCACTTCTGACCAACATTTCTCATAATTGTCTTTAAATAGGTTTAAATTCTGAGCAGTCATATTAACCCCCAAGTATTTTACTTTCTTAACCAATGTTAAGCCTGTCTCCTTCTGAAACCTCTCTTTCTCAATCGGTGTTAGATTTTTCTCAAGCACCTTAGTTTTTAACTTGTTCAACTTAAATCCTGCCACATGACCAAATTCCTGAATCAATTCTAATACTCTTTTAGTACTAGATTCTGGCTCCTGTAACGTCAATACCAAATCATCTGCAAAAGCTTTCAATTTGTACTGTTTAGCTCCAACCTGTATACCTTTAATCAAACGGTCCCTTCTAATCATATTTAGCAAAACCTCCAGGACCGAAATAAAAAGCAATGGGGAAATTGGGCAGCCTTGTCATGTCCCTTTCTCTATCTTAAATTCCTCTGTTACCACATTATTAACTATTACCTAAGCTTTTTGTTCTGAGTATATTGCACTTATACCATTTTCAAACCCTTGTCCCACTCCCATCCCCTGAAGATTTTTCTTCATGAAGCTCCAAGAAATATTATCAAAGGCTTTCTCCGCATCAACAAAAATTAAAACTGCTTTAGTATTAATATTTACTTGCAGCATCTCCAAAATGTCAATTATATTCCTCGTGTTGTCAGACAAGTGTCTACCTGGGAGAAAGCCAGCTTGGTCTTTATGGATCTCTTCTACTAATACCTTTTTAACCTTTTAGCCAAAATATCTGCGAAAATTTTGTAATCCACATTGAGCAGGGATATGGGGCGGTAGTTCTTAAGTTGCGTCTTTTCAGTCTCATTTTTCGGTATTAGTGTAATATAAGCTTCTTTCCACGACTCTGGCGCTTTTTTCCCTTCTAAGATTTCGTTACAAACCTCCTTTAATGGTTGAATTATCCAGTCCTTCAAAGATCTATAGTATTTGGAAGTTAAACCATCGGGCCCTGGAGATTTGCCCAGCTGCATGTTCTGGATGGCACCTTCCACCTCCTGTTCTGTTATTTTATAGTTCAACATTAGCTTATTTTCTTGAGAGATTTTTTGAAGCCCATTTGTTTTTAAAAATTTGTCTAAATTGCACTCTTTCTGTGGCCCTTGTGTGTATAGCTGTTTGAAGTACCTCTGGAAGCATTTTCTAATTTCTACTGGATTCTGGATGTTCTTTCCTTCCACTTCCAAGTTGGTAATGGTGTTAAGTTTTTGTCTTTTTTTCATTTGCCATGCTAGCAGTTTTCCACATTTATTAGCCGATTCAAATGTCCTTTGTTTCATCTGTTTAATTTTCCATTCTATTTCCTGATTCATCATCTTCATATATTGAACTTGGTATAACTTTATCTATCTCAGAATCTCTTGTGATTTGGGTTTCGCTCTCAGTTTCTTCTCCCCCTCTTTTATTTTTTCCAAGATTTTATCTTTTTTCTCATTTTGAGTTCTCTTCTTTATTGCATTCTGTTGAATTAGAAACCCTCTCATAACTGCTTTGCTTGCGTCCCAGATTACTCTTTTTTCAATGGTGGTGTTCATATTTATCTCAAAGTAGTCTCTCAAGGTTTTTTGGGCCTTCTTGGTAATTTCTTGATCTCTAAACAAGGTGTCATTAATCCTCCATCTGAAGGAGCCGGTAGGTGTTAGTTTCATCTCCATTTTCACGGCATTATGGTCGGAGCAGGTTTTAGGGCAAATTTCCACTTTTCGAGTCTTAGGTGCCAGTCCTCTAGTAATCCAAATTTGGTCAATTCTTGTCCATGTCATTTTGGCTTCAGAGAAGAAGGTTCCCTCCCTAGCCAGGGGGTTCTTTATTCTCCAGATGTCGATCAAGTCCATATTGTCAGTCATCTCAAAAAAGGTTTTTGGTAGTCTGCCATCTTTGGTAACTACCTGTCTCTGCGACTTGTCCATATTTGTGGATACCACTCCGTTCATGTCTCCCATCATTATAATGTTGTAATCCATATAGTCCATCAGTGTCACATGCAACTTCTTGTAAAATACAGATTTCCCCTCATTTGGAGCGTATACTCCTACTATCAGAAATTTTTCTCCTTGTGTTTGAATTTCAATTGCCACATATCTTCCTTGATCATCTTTAAAAATAAATTTAGGCGATAGGCTCTCTTTCGCATAATTTACAACTCCTCTCTTTTTGACATTATCCAATGAAATAAACTCCTGGCCCAATCTTTTATTAATCAGTACTTTCCTGTGGAGCCTTGTCACATAGGTTTCCTGCAAACAAATCAAGTCCAATTGTTCCTTTTTCAATAGATAAAAGACTTTTTTCCTTTTCTCCGGGGAATTAAATCCATGAATATTCCAGCTTAAGAGTTGCAGAGACATGATGTATTTATTTTGCTTTTCCTCCAACTGCACCAAGTAGTTGCTCTTGTTCTGTTGGTGGAATCACCTTCTCTAGCTTGTCCAATCCTGAAGGTAGTGATACTATGTCCTGTATTCCTGGTTTTAAAGCTCTGGGCTCTTTTCCAGTTTCTTTTTGTAAGTCTTCTTTGTGATCTTTCAGAAATGTTTCTTTATGTCCCACTGATCTTATTTTGAACTTTTTCCCTTTAAAGGTAAAAGATAGGCCTTGAGGGAATTCCCACCTAAAGATGATTCTATTTGCTCTTAGTAGGGCCACCAAGTCTCCGTAGTTAGACCTGAGATCCAAGAGATGTTTAGGGATGTCCTTAAATATCTCCACTTTTGATCCCTTTATTTCCAAGGTCTTCTGGAAGTGCAAGCTCAATATTCTGTCTCTCTCCTCTCTTGATCGGAGGGTAATCAGACAGTCTCTCACCCTGTCCTTTCTCCCCCCTCTTCCAAGTCTGAAGGCACTTAGTATCTTGAAATCTGGCTTGTCTGGTTCTAGATCCCAAAAGTCAGTAAATTCCTGCGTAAGAAAGTCACTCAGGTTATCTTTCTCAAGTTCAGGTACAGCCCTGACCCTTAGATTTGTCTGTTTTTCTTTCAATTCGATCATAGACAGCAATGACTTATGGTCCTCCAGCTGCTTGCATATCGGTGGAATCTTTTCCTCTATCTTTTCCTCTACAGCCAATGCTTTTTGCTTGGCCTCTTCAGCTGTTTTTCGATTCAAAGTAGATTCCTGCAGCAGTTTCTCAATAGATTCTGTATTTGAATTCACCTTCTGCCCCAAGTTATTAATGCTTGTTGTATTTTGATCAATTTTAGTTGTCGCTTCAGCCACTTGTTTACTCAACTTTTCCAAAGATTCAAAATATCTAAGGCCGAAGATAAACCCCCTTCAGCTACCATTCCTTTGGAGGCCACCTGGGCTAAATCTTCCCCTGGTGGGGCCGGAAGGCTGGGTGCTGATGGTCTACTCTGCTGCTGTCGAATTTTGCCAGATCTTGTTGTTTTTTCCTGAGTCGAGTCTGCCATAACACTTTATCTAAGAGTCAAGGTCAGTCCCACACTTGCTTGTTTGTGGTGGAAAATTCCCCTTTAGTCTAGCCAATTCAAAGTGGAAAATTCCTTGGCCAGTTGTAGCAATTTCAAAGTTCCTCTAGGGGGACACAGTAGCAGTTCCAAATTGTAACAATAAAATAACTGTCCAACTTTCAAAGATCCCCCCTTAGCCACAAATGGCAACAGTTTCAAATCCAGTGGGACTTTTCAAAGTCAAAGTATCCCTCTTGCAGAGCTAACTGTCAGAAAGTTACATTGTCTTTTGACAGCGCGTTTCCCAATACGGCAGTATCAATGTCCCTTGACAGCCCGTTCCCAGGCATTAAGTGATGGTCTTAGTTCCCTTTCTCTCTTCTTTTGCAGGCAAAACTTACTTCCCCTTCTCCCTCCCCTCTCCCACACCACAGGGAGGGAGTTCTCTCTTTGTTGATGTAGGATTTACATCTTTTTCAACGCGGTTTCAAGCTCTTTGCTTTTGACAGTCTTTGCTTTGATCTATTTACATAAAGGAAGGCGGACTTCCTGTTTACATCTTCCCGCTTCGGTGCCAAATTAACCCTTTTTTCCTTAAGTCCCCCGGTCTTCGGTCTTAACCTACTCACGGGTAATTGTTTCTTAGCCAAATTGTCACAGGAAAAAGGTCGGCGCTCTCCGGCAACAGCTGCGTGGCTTCACTCCACGGAAGAAGCAGTTGACTCTCAGCACCGCGCCAAACTCCCCGCTCCGTTCCGGAACTCTTTCCAGAGTTCCCTCGCGAGTTGGGGGGGCGCTAGGGGTGCCCGCCGAGTCCCACGGTCACAGGCTTCACCCGCCCGTGATTTTCAAAAGGGTCCCTGCTTCGCCCTAGTGGCAAGACCCGATTTCCGCGGAGCTATTCCCTCGAGACTAGAGGGAATCCGCCATTGCCGATGGCGCCGCCTCCGGAAGTCCCTCAACTGAGCAGAGAATTGATGACGCTTGCACCAGACATCCTATTGGGAGGAGCCAGTTTTCTGACTGCATGTTCTGGAAGTGGGGTAGTAGAGGATTCCCTGGCCGAGCTGCTTCAGGTCGTGGTGGATGTTCTCTTGGAGACACCTAGTTTGGCTGTCCTAGGGGATATAAACATCCATGCCAACACAAACTTACAAGGGGCCACTTGGGACTTCGTGGAAATCAAGGCCTCCATAGGACTGTCCCTGAATAAGTTTGGCCCAACTCATAGTCATGGACATGCCTTAGACCTGGTGTTTACCTCTATGGATGTGGGTGATCTGACACTAAGTAAAAGTAAAACAAAAAAAGTGCCATGGTCAGGTCACTTCTTGGTGCAACTGGACTTCTCCGCTACCCTTCCCCTCTGCAGGGAGGTGGGACCAATTCAGGTGGTCCACCCCCACCACTTAATGGATCCAAATGGTTTCCAGAGAGTGGTAGGGGATATTTTATCCCACGTTGATGGCCTTTCAGATGATTCCCTGGTGGCCCACTGGAATACGAGTTAACCAGGGCTATCAACTGTCTGGCTTCGAAGCACCCTCTCTGATTACATGGAGCCCGGACAGCCCCATGGTTGTCTGAGGGCAGTGAAACAATCATTGAGATGCCTAGAGTACTGGTGGTGGAAAACTCATTCTGAAGCAGACCAGACACAGCTTAGAGCTCAAAGCTGAGCCTACCAAGTGGCGATAGTGATGGCAAAGATGACCTTATTCACTGCCTCTATTGCATCAGCAGAAAACAGCAGCAGAAGACTCTTTCAAGTGGTTTGTAATTTAACGGAATCACCTGTGCCATCAGGGCCTGATAAGGCCCCCAAGATCTGCTGCAATGATTTTGCAAAGTTTTTTTGCAAATAAAGTCACTCATATTCAGAAAGAGGTATAGAGCAGGGGAGCAGGGCAAGGGCAGGGGAGCAGGGCAAGGGTTAGGGTTAGGGTTAGGGTCTAATCAATTTGCATTGGATCAATTCCAATCTGTTACCTCTGAGGATGTGGACAGGCTGCTTAGACGAGTGAAACCAACCACCTGTCTCCTTGATCCTTGCCCATCCTGGCTAATAAAAGCTAGCCTGGAAGGGCTAGGCGATGGGCTCTGCAGGGTGGTGAATGCTTCTCTCTGTGAGGGAGTCTTCCCAGCCCCATTGAATCATAGAATCATAGAGTTGGAAGAGACCACAAGGGCCATCGAGTCCAACCCCCTGCCAAGCAGGAAACACCATCAGAGCACTCCTGACATATGGTTGTCAAGCCTCTGCTTAAAGACCTCCAAAGAAGGAGACTCCACCACACTCCTTGGCAGCAAATTCCACTGTCGAACAGCTCTTACTGTCAGGAAGTTCTTCCTAATGTTTAGGTGGAATCTTCTTTCTTGTAGTTTGGATCCATTGCTCCGTGTCCGCTTCTCTGGAGCAGCAGAAAACAACCTTTCTCCCTCCTCTATGTGACATCCTTTTCTATATTTGAACATGGCTATCATATCACCCCTTAACCTCCTCTTCTCCAGGCTAAACATGCCCAGCTCCCTTAGCCGTTCCTCATAAGGCATCGTTTCCAGGCCTTTGACCATTTTGGTTGCCCTCCTCTGGACACGCTCCAGTTTGTCAGTGTCCTTCTTGAACTGTGGTGCCCAGAACTGGACACAGTACTCCAGGTGAGGTCTGACCAGAGCAGAATACAGTGGCACTATTACTTCCCTTGATCTAGATGCTATACTCCTATTGATGCAGCCCAGAATTGCATTGGCTTTTTAGCTGCCGCGTCACACTGTTGGCTCATGTCAAGTTTGTGGTCAACCAAGACTCCTAGATCCTTTTCACATGTACTGCTCTCAAGCCAGGTGTCCCCCATCTTGTATTTGTGCCTCTCATTTTTTTGCCCAAGTGCAATACTTTACATTTCTCCCTGTTAAAATTCATCTTGTTTGTTTTGGCCCAGTTCTCTAATCTGTCAAGGTCGTTTTGAAGTGTGATCCTGTCCTCTGGGGTGTTAGCCACCCTCCCAGTTTGGTGTCATCTGCAAATTTGATCAGGATGCCCTTGAGTCCATCATCCAAGTCGTTGATAAAGATGTTGAATAAGACCGGGCCCAAGACAGAACCCTGTGGCACCCCACTAGTCACTCTTCTCCAGGATGAAGAGGAACCATTGATGAGCACCCTTTGGGTTCGGTCAGTCAGCCAGTTACAAATCCACTGAGTGGTAGCATAGTCAAGACCACATTTTACCAGCTTCTTTACAAGAATATCATGAGGCACCTTGTCAAATGCCTTGCTGAAATCAAGGTAGGCTACATCCACTGCGTTCCCTTCATCTACCAGGCTTGTAATTCTGTCAAAAATGAGATCAGGTTAGTCTGACATGACTTATTTTTCAGAAATCCATGCTGACTATTGGTGATCACAGCATTCCTTTCTAGGTGCTCACAGACTGTTTGCTTAATGATCTGCTCCAGAATCTTCCCTGGTATTGACGTCAGACTGACTGGGCGGTAATTATTTGGGTCCTCTCTTTCCCCCTTTTTGAAAATAGGGACAACATTTGCCCTCCTCCAGTCTGCCGGGACTTCGCCTGTTCTCCAGGAATTCTCAAAGATGACTGCCAGTGGTTCTGAGATCACATCTGCCAGTTCTTTTAATACTCTTGGATGCAGTTCATCTGGCCCTGGAGACTTGAATACATCTAAACTAGCCAAGTATTCTTGTACTATCTCCTTAGTTATTCTGGGCTGTGTTTCCTCTGCTGAATCATTTGCTCCAAATTCTTCAGGTCGGGCATTGTTTTCTTTATCGGAGAAGACTGAGGCAAAGAAGGCATTGAGGAGTTCAGCCCTTTCTGTGTCCCCATTTGCATTTCACCATCTTCTCCTCTGAGTGACCCCACTGTTTCTTTGTTCTTCCTTTTGCTACGGACATACCCATAAAAGCCTTTTTTGTTGCTTTTAACCTCTCTAGCAAGCCTGAGTTCATTCTGTGCTTTAGCTTTTCTGACTTTGTGTCTACACGCGCTGGCTATTTGTTTGAATTCCTCTTTGGTGGTTTCCCCCTTTTCCATTTTTGTACACATCCTTTTTAATCTTAACTCAGTTAAAAGTTCTTTAGATAGCCACCCTGGCTTCTTTAGGCACCTTCCATGTTTCTGTCTCATTGGTATTGCCTGACGTTGTGCTTTTACTATCTCCCTCTTAACAAACTCCCAGCCATCATGAACTCCCTTTCCTTTTTTTTTTTTAAAAAAAGAATATTTATTCCAGTTTCAAAGTTACAAAAAAAGAAGAAAAAACAAACCATACACATGTTACAAAAAACAGACAATAAAAAAGAAGAGAAAGAAAGAAAAAAAAGAAAAAACCTCAACAAAGAATAAACATGCATCACAATAAAGAATAACAAAAATCAAATTAGACCTTTACAACCTTTTTCCCTTTTACTTATTTCCATGACTTCCTCTCACCTCCCTGCTTTGTGTTCTAATTTAGATCGTATCTCCAGCAAATCCTTCTAACCTTCTTTTCTTTTACTTATTTTAACATTCGAAAATATTTAATCCTCCTCTATCCTCATTTTACACTTCATTTTTACTTATTCCATTATGCCATGTCTGCCAATACGGCCTAATATTCTTTTCCAACCTTTTTCTAACATTCTTTTATCTTACAGTATTTCTGAAGATATATTTTAAATTTTTTCCAGTCTTCTTCCATCAACCCTTCTTCCTGGTCTCGAATTCTGCCGGTCATCTCAGCCAGTTCCATATAGTCCATCACTTTCATCTGCCATTCTTCTCGGGTAGGCAATTCTTGTGTCTTCCAATATTTCCCAATGAGTATTCTTGCTGCTGCTGTCGCATACATAAAAAAATTTTTGTCTTCCCTTCGCACCAATTGGCCGACCATGCCCAAGAGGAAGGCCTCTGGTTTCTTCACAAAAGTATATTTCAATACCTTTTTTAGTTCATTATATATCATTTCCCAGAAGGCCTTGATCTTTGGGCACGTCCACCAAAGGTGGAAAAAGGTACCTTCATTTTCTTTACATTTCCAACATTTATTATCGGGCAAATGATAGATTTTTGCTAGCTTGACTGGGGTTAAGTACCACCTGTAGATCATTTTCATTATATTTTCTCTTAAGGCATTACAAGCCGTAAATTTCATACCTGTAGTCCATAACCGTTCCCAGTCAGATGTTATGCCCAACATCTTGTACCCATTTAATCATAGGAGACTTAACGATTTCATCCTGTGTATTCCATTTCAGCAGCAGATTATACATTCTTGACAAATTTTTAGTTTTAGGCTCTAACAATTCCGTTTCCAATTTGGATTTTTCCTCCTGGAAACCAATTTTTTATCTAGGTTAAAAACCTCCCTTATTTGATAATAATGAAGCCAATCTCGAACTTTAGTTTTTAATTTGTCAAAACTCTGCAATTTTAGTTTATCTCCAACTTGTTCTAAAATTTCACAGTATTTTGGCCAATTTGTCTCCATATTAGTTTTTTTTCAATGCTTTTGCCTCCATTGGTGACAGCCACCTTGGTGTTTTACTTTCCAACAAATCCTTATATCTCACCCAAACATTAAACAATGCTTTCCTGACAATATGGTTCTTAAAGGCCTTATGCGCTTTAACCTTGTCATACCATAAATATGCATGCCATCCAAACACATTATCAAAACCTTCTAAGTCCAAAATGTCCACATTTTCAAGAAGTAGCCAATCTTTCAGCCAGCAAAATGCGGCTGATTCATAGTAAAGTTTAAGATCTGGCAGGGCAAATCCCCCCTCTTTCCTTCGCATCTGTTAATATCTTAAATTTTATTCTAGGCTTTTTGCCCTGCCAGATAAATTTGGACATATCTCTTTGCCACCTCTTGAAACAGTCCATTTTGTCCACAATTTGCAATGTTTGAAACAAAAACAGCATTCTAGGCAATACATTCATCTTTATCGCAGCAATTCGGCCCAACAATGATAGCTTCAATTTTGACCATGTTTCTAAATCCTTCTTCACTTCTGACCAACATTTTTCATAATTATCTTTAAACAAATTCACATTTTTAGCAGTCATATGCACCCCTAAATATTTCACTTTATTAACTATTGTTAATCCTGTCTCTTTCTGGAACCTCTCTTTCTCAATCTCTGTAAGGTTTTTCTCTAATACCTTAGTTTTCATCTTGTTCAATTTAAAACCTGCTACTTGACCAAATTCTTGGATTAATTGTAATACTCTTTTTGTGCTAGCTTCTGGCTCCTGTAATGTCAAAACTAAATCGTCAGCAAAAGCTTTCAATTTGTACTGTTTAGCTCCGAGTTGTATACCTTTAACCAATTGGTCTTTTCTAATCATATTGAGCAAAACCTCCAAGACCGATATAAAAAGCAATGGGGAGATTGGGCAACCCTGTCTTGTTCCTTTCTCTATCTTAAGTTCTTCTGTAACTACATTGTTCACAATGAGCTTAGCTTTTTGTTCCGAATAAATTGCACCTATACCATTTTCAAAACTTTGGCCTACCCCCATCCCCTGCAAATTTTTCTTCATAAAACTCCAAGAAATATTGTCAAAGGCTTTCTCTGCATCTACGAATATTAAAACAGCTTTGGTATTGATATTAACTTGCAGTTTTTCTAAAATATTGATAATATTTCTCGTATTATCTGACAGATGTCTCCCAGGGAGAAAGCCCGCCTGATCTTTATGAATCTCTTTTACCAGTACATTTTTTAATCTTTTAGCCATAATTTCGGCAAAAATTTTGTAATCCACATTAAGTAGGGATATGGGACGGTAGTTCTTCAGCTGTGTCTTCTCCACTTCAGTTTTTGGTATAAGTGTGATGTATGCTTCTTTCCACGACTCGGGTGCTTTTCCTCCCTGTAGTATTTCATTGCAAAGTTCTTTCAACGGTTGCAATAACCATTCTTTCAAAGATTTGTAGTATTTTGCAGTTAGACCATCCGGTCCTGGAGATTTGCCCAATTTCATATTCTGAATGGCTCCTTCCACCTCTTGATCAGATATTGTAGAGTTTAATATTGATTTGCTCTCTTGAGATACTTTTTGTAATCCATTATTTTTCAAAAACCGATCAATGTCTAATTCTTTCTGGGTTTCCTGCGTATATAACTGTTTAAAATAATTCTGAAAGCACTTCCGAATCTCCCCAGGATTCTGTATATTCTTCCCTTCTACTACCAAGTTCGTAATCGTATTCAGCTTTTGTCTTTTTTCATTTGCCAGGCCAGTAATTTCCCACACTTATTTGCCGATTCGAAGGTCTTTTGTTTCATCTGTTTTACCTTCCATTCTATCTCCTGATTCATCAGTTTCATATATTGTACTTGGTATAGCTTTATCTCTTTTAAGATCTCCTGTGAGTTCGGTTTCGCCCTCAGTCTTTTTTTCTCCATCCTTAATTTTCTCCAAAATTTTTCTCTCTTCTCGTTTTGATATCTTTTCCTAATTGCATTTTGTTGTATCAAAATCCTCTCATCACCGCTTTGCTGGCATCCCAAATCACTCTTTTTTCTGTCGTAGTGTTCATATTTATCTCAAAATAGTCTCTCAAATTTTTCTGGGCCTTTTTAATAATTTCCTCATTCCTAAATAAGGAGTCATTCATCCTCCATCTGAAAGCTCCAATTGGCGTTGATATCATTTCAATCTTTACTGGATTGTGATCAGAGCAAATTTTCGGGCAAATCACCGCTTTTTTTATCTTAGGGGTCAGTCCTCTAGTTATCCAGATTTGGTCTATTCTTGTCCATGTCATATTTGCTTCAGAGAAGAAGGTTCCTTCTCTTTCCAAGGGGTTCTTTATTCGCCAAATATCCACAAGATCCATATTGTCAGTCATTTCAAAAATGTCTTTGGTAGTCTTCCATCTTTCGTCACCGTTTGTCTTTGGGCTTTATCCATATTTGTAGACACTACTCCATTCATATCTCCCATCAAAATAATGTTGTAATCCAAATAATCCAGGAGAGTTTCGTGCAATTTTTTAAAGAATTCTGATTTTCCCTCATTTGGTGCATATACACCTATTATCAAAAACTTCTGTCCTTGAAACTGAATTTCAATTGCTATATATCTTCCTTGGTCGTCTTTAAATATAAATTTTGGTGACAGGCTTTCCTTCGCATAGAGTACTACTCCTCTTTTTTCACATTGTCCGATGAAATAAATTCTTCTCCCAATCTTTTATTTATCAAAATTTTCCGATGTAGCCTTGTCACATGCGTCTCTTGTAAACAAATCAAGTCCAAATGTTCTTTTTTCAATGTATGAAATACTCTCCCCCTTTTGCCGACGAATTCAGACCATTAATATTCCAGCTTAAAACTTGAAGTGTCATTTTGTAGTTACTCTCCTTCTCCTCCAACAGCCCCAAGGAGTTTGTCTATGTCTGTCGGTGGCGTTGGTTTCGCTTTTTTTTGCAGATTCTTATCCGGTATCGCAGTGTCTTTTCCCAATCCTTTCTGTAGATCTTCTTCATATGCGCTCAAAAACTTGTTCTTTTCCTTCACTGATCTTATCTTAGTCTTTCTTCCTTTAAAACTGAAGGATAGACCTTGAGGGAATTCCCACCTGAAAAGGATTTTATTTTTTCTCAACAAGGCCACCAAGACTCCAAAATCTTGTCTTAAGTCCAGAAGATGTTTTGGTATATCTTTAAAAATTTCCACTTTTGATTGTACAATTGTCAAAGGTTTTTCGTAATGCAGGCCCAAAATTTTGTCCCTTTCTTCTTTGGATCGGAGGGTAATCAAACAGTCCCTTATTTTAATCTTTCTTCCTCCTTTCCCCAATCTGAAGGCCCTCACAATCTTAAAGTCCTCTTGTTTCAGGTCCGATTTCCAAAATTCCAGAAATTCTTGTGTCAAAAAGTCTATCAAGGTGCCTTTCTCCAACTCAGGAACAGCTCTAATTCTTAGATTGGTTTGTTTGTCTTTGAGATCAATCATAGACAACGTTAACTTATGTTCTGCAATCTCTTTCTGTAGGTCTGGTACCTTCTCAGTTTCCAATTGCCCCAATTTAAATTCCACAGCAGCAGTCTTTTCCTGTATAGACTTTGAGTCTTGCAGTAATCTCTGAATAGATTCCGTATTGCTGTTTACCTTTTTCTCCAAGTTGTCTAGTGTTTCTGTGTTTAAATCAATTTTTCTATTAGCAATGTCCACTTTCTGATTCGTTTCTTCCACTTTCCTATTCGTCTCCCCCACCCTTGTACTAAGTTGCTGTATTGATTCATTGATCTTAGCCAAGGCACTGGCTAAAATTTCCTCAGACATTCCACTAGACTTAGATTGTGTTGCTGATGCAGGCAGGCCAGCAGATGATTGCCTTCGGTGTACCCAAGGTTTCCCAGATCTCAAGACTGACGGGTCTTGAGATTTCTGGCCATCTGCCATAACAAAGTGAAGGTCAAATTCTTTTCCCACGTATGCTGTTCCTGTTTACAAGTGGAAAATTCCTTTACTGTAATTTCAGGGAGTCCCACTAGGTGGACACTGTTACCACCAAACGAGTTACTGTCCTTCTAAAATGACAGGAAAGAGAAACTAAGTAGAGAGACAAAGATGGAGGATCACAATGTAACTTTCCAGTTATTTTCCCCAACGAAATTGGCCACAATATATCTTCTTTACAGCCAACAAGTAGCACTGACAGCTTTTGACAGCTGAGACGTCTCACTGACAGATTGCTCTTTAAGTCTTTAAACAGTCCGGTAGATTCAAACAAAACCTTTCCCTTTATCCCTCCGAAAGGTAGATTCCGCCAAAGTTCTCAGGTCAGAAGAAAACACTTATTTCAATTCAATTTTCCCACGTTTAGCTCAAAGTCTCTATGCTTTATTCTGGATACAATGCGGGGAAGCGGACTTCCTGTTTGCACTTCCCACCGCGGTAGCCAATTTTAACGCTGTTTTGCTGCTAAAACCTTTCCGCTTTTATCCAATTAGTCCAATCAATCCAATTAATGCTCTTTTAATCCAATTCCTCTACTCACGATTGAAATTTCAGTCCAAATGTTCCAGGAATAAGTCAGCGCTCTCCAGCAACGGCAACACGGCTTCGCTCAGTGAAAGCAGCGATCCGCTCGCAGCACCGCGCTTCTCCCCCGCTCCGTTCTGAAGCCTTAAAAAAAAGCTTCCTCGCGGGTTGGGGGGGCGCTCCAAGGTGCCCGCCGAGCCTTCACGTTCACAGGCTTCCGCGCCTGCGATTTCTGAGGGTCCCCGCTTCGCCGCAGCGCACAGGACCCGATTTTCACTGAGCTATCCCCTCCAAGATCAGAGGAGATCGGCCATTTGCTGCTGGCGCTAACCGGAAGTCGGTGAACTCCCTTTCCTTTTAGTATTACTGTCCATGGGATCTCACCCAGCACTTCCCTAAGTTTTATGAAGTCGGCTTTCTTAAAGTCAAGAAATTGAGTCCTAGTATGCTTGGCTGCTCCTTTCCGCTGTATAGTAAACTTCAGAAGAGCATGATCACTCGCGCCTAATGATCCTTCCACTTCTACCCCACTAACCAGGTCATCACCATTGGTTAGGACCAGATCTAAAATGGCTGTTCCTCTTGTTGCTTCTCCCACTTTCTGGACAATGAAGTTGTCTGCAAGGCCAGTGAGGAATCTGTTTGACCTTATGCTCTTGGCTGAGTTTGACATCCAACAAATATCCGGGTAATTGAAGTCCCCCATTACTACTATCTCCCTTCCTTTTGCATGCTTGGCCATCTGTTCTAGGAAGGCATCATCTATGTCCTCCGTTTGGCTTGGGAATCTATAGCAAACACCCACAATGAGGTCACTGTTATTCTTCTCTCCCTTAATTTTGACCCAAATGCTCTCACTTTGGCTTTGAGGTTCTAAATCTTGGATCTCTTCACAGGTATACACATCCCTGACATATAACACCACTCCTCCTCCTTTCTTGTCTGGTCTGTTTCTCTGAAATAGATTGTATCCTCCCATTATTACATTCCAATCGTGGGACTTATCCCACCAGGTTTCAGTGATGCCTATTATGTCATATTTAGTTTGCTGTACCAAGAGCTCAAGCTCATCTTGTTTATTTCCCATGCTTTGCGCATTAGTGTACAGACACTGAAGTCCATTAATCATTCCCCGTGTCTCTTATTTAAGGATTTTTCCTCCCACCACTAGGTCTGCGTGCTGTTTGCTCCATTTGGTCTATGACATTTGGATGATCATCTTCATCAATTGATAGACTCCTACCTTCAGGAGCACTGTCTCCCTCCCCACATTAGTCAGTTTAAAGCCCTCCTGATGAGGTTTCTGAGATTTTTGGCAAAAACATTTCTCCCAACCGTTGTGAGGTGCAGCCCATCGCTTGCCAGAAGTCCATCTTCAAGAAACTGCAGTCCGTGATCTAAGAATCCAAACCGTTCCTGTTTACACCATTTGCGAAGCCAGCTGTTCACTTCCACTATTTTTCCCTCTCTCCCTGGGCCACGTCGTTCAACTGGGAGGACAGATGAGATGACAATTTGTGCATTTAATTGCTTCAGTTTCCTGCCCAGAGCCTCGTAGTCTCTTTTGATCTTCTGGAGGCTATTGCTTGCAGTGTCATTGGTTCCCACATGAACCAAGAGGAAGGGGTATTTGTCAGTGGGTTTTATGATTCCTTGCAGTCGTTCAGTTACATCTTGGATCTTAGCCCCGGGAGACAGCACACTTCCCGAGACATCTTGTCAGGCCCACAGATCACTGCTTCTGTTCCCCTCAGTAGGGAATCCCCTATCACCACTACACGCCTCCTCTTAGGTTTGGTCGGGGTTCTTCCGTGAGCTGTCCGTTCCAAGGTCGCCTGCACATTCCCTGAGGACTGACTTTGCTGCTCGTCTTCATATACCTGATCGACTGTAATGAGGGAGAGATCCTCAAATGGAGTCTGCTCTTCGTCTTCCATGCTAGGGAGAGGACCTCAAAGTGATTGTGTATTTCTAAACAATCAGAGCGAACCCTGGGCCTCCTACTTCTTTGAGTCACGTTTCTCCATATATCTGGCTCCTGTGTTGGTGAACTAGCCTCCTTCTCAGGGGAGTCCCCTGTCTCCTCCTTGGTGGAGACGGTGTGCTCTGTTGCTTCCAAGAAGAGCTCCAGCTCTCTAATTCTTTGGAGCGTAGCTACACGTTCCTCCAGTTGCTGGACTTTGTCTTTTAAGAGGGCAATCTACATGCAATTGCTGCAGGTAAAGCTGCCTGCAACTTTTGGCAAGATGGCAAACATTGCGCAGAAACCGCAGGCGACTGCAGCTGTTCCCTCCCCCTCCATCTTGAGAACGTGTCTTTGGGGGTGGCTACAGCGGTCCTCCATCATAAAAAGCGTGAAGACAGGACAAATAACTCCCCCCACAAAAAAAACCTAGGTCTCCCCCAACAAACATTTGAGACTAGCTCCCCTAAATCTAAAAGATGGATCGAACTGCGGGTGCCGCTAGGCGCGCGCCGCTGCCCTGCAAGCTCTGATAAGCTCCTCCCACAGCTAATCACCTGCCTCAACAGAAACCCTGCCCCCTCTGACCTTTGCACAGGGAGAGCAGCTAATCAGCCACAAAGAAACACACAAGAAAACCCTTTTTAGGTCCAGTCGTGACTGACTCTGGGGTTGCGGCGCTCAACTCGCTTTATTGGCCGAGGGAGCCAGCATACAGCTTCCGGGTCATGTGGCCAGCATGACTAAGCCGCTTCTGGCGAACCATAGCAGCGCACGGAAATGCCGTTTACCTTCCCGCCGGAGCGGTACCTATTTATCTACTTGCACTTTGACGTGCTTTCGAACTGCTAGGTGGGCAGGAGCAGGGACCAAGCAATGGGAGCTCACCCCGTCGCGGGGATTCGAACCGCCGATCTTCTGATCGGCAAGTCCTAGGCTTTGTGGTTTAACCCACAGCACCACCTGCTCCCCTCCTTTTAGGTGAATCTAAATTCCACCTCCTCCTCTTTACTGCTGGCATTATTGGTCTAATTTTAAAATTAACAGTGAACTGCTCAAGAACATCAGATGCCACAATAAATTTACAAACAAATTGAGAGCAGCCTCAATTTGCAATCTTGTGAAATTTTGTTTATTACACCAAGTGCTAGTTGTGATGTAACACATTAAAATCCAGATTGACCTTCCAAGAGACTTTTCAGGTTCATAAATTTAATCTCTGCTTTTGAAAGGAACTGGAAGGGAGGACGACCATTTATAAGACAAGATGCAGCTGTGCAAAACAAGATAGACCAATAAATCAAGCTGAATTCTCTCCAACAGGTATTTGAGAGGCTTTTACTGGAAGACAAGTTATGCTATGATCAGTTTGTTAGAATTCCTACTCCATGATTGCAGTCATGGGATTTTTGTCTATCACATAACGGTGTATGTTTTGACTCCACAGAGTGGGAAGTGACGGAGACAGGATGTTTGTGTTACTGTGTTCTATTGTCCTTTGTTCCTTCTCTTTGCTGTCTGATGCTAGAGAGGGAGCCATTTTGCAGTGCTCCGTGTATGTAAATAAAGTAGATTAGCCAAAATGCGGAGATCTCTTACAGATTCCTCTTAAAGTTACCAGCTTTGTCTGGTGCACATCATCGTCTTCACTGAAGGATGCCTCATCACTGCTGGCCTCTTCGTGATGCACTGGAACTGGCTTCCTAGCAAGAGGCGGGCTGCTGGCCTTGCGGATCTCCTGGGCGGAGCGTTCAGCAGCTTCCAAGACCACGGCCTCCTCAATGGCTTTCTGCAGCGTGAGGTCTGGCTTGGCGAGGAGACGCCATTGCAGACGGATGTCCCGAACCCCGCAGACGATTCAATCCATCAGGGCATTGTCTAAGTCTTGGAACTCGCAGTGCATTGCAGCCTGTCAGAGGGCGGTGGGGTAGTTGTTGATTGACTTCCCCTCTGCCTGGTTCTGGTGGTAGAACACATGGCGGGCAGCAATCTTGGAAGGCTTTGGTGTGTAGTGGTTGCAGGGCTTCTCTTTAATCGTGTCACATGGTGCTGCCTGGACTGCTACAGGTGCAACCAATGCTTGGGCCGTCTCAAACACCTCAGGCCCACAGAGGCTGAGGAATAGGCCCTGCTTATGCTCCTGTGGTACTTCCGTCAGCTCGTTGGCTTGGAGATAGCAGTCGAACCAAGCAAGGTAGGAGTCCCATGTTTCAGAGGCTGGGGCAAACAGCGGTAGAGGCACGAGTGAAGCCATGGTTCCAATGCCGACGTGGAGGCAATGGATGGAACACCATGCTCTAGCCAGAATGGTCAGCTCTGAATTGGTTCTGCTCCGTGATTTTGCTCAGTGATTCAGCTCAGTGATTCAGCTGAGGTCAGCTCAGAGAGTGGCTGCACCTGGCTGTGCTCTGATGTCCATCGATCCCATCCTCATCGCCAGTGTTAAGTTGTGGGTGAACATATCAGACGACACAGCGATTCTCCAAACAGCTCTTGTTTATTCACAGGTCAGAACAGAACTGAACTGAAGGGTTCAGCCAGCCTGCTTATATAGAGCTCCAGTACCACGTTACTGTAACAACTTTCTGTAACTATCCAATCACTGAACGTCACTTTCGATCCCTTATTTGCATATGTGGACCTGAACTATCTACAGTATCCCCCTGCTGGCCCAGGGTGAGAACTTCAGTACATTACAACGCTCATCTCGCTTTACTGGCCGAGGGAGCCAGCATACAGCTTCCAGGTCATATGGCCAGCATGATTAAGCCGCTTCTGGCGAACCAGCGCAGTGCACGGAAACGCCGTTTACCTTCTGTGAGGGGTGAGGGTGCTGATAAGCTAGTAAAGCAACACTCCGGGCTTCGCGCCATCTCTTCACAAGATTTATTGTTCAGCTTCAAAGCCGTTTACGAGAGATCAAACACATACATCCATACTCAGCTATCCAGATGAGTCATCTGACTTTCGTCTGTGATGCTGCCAACATACCCATTCCCGGAAATGACGCCTCCTTTTCGTTTTGCCCTGTGAATGGCTGGGTCCTGCTTTAGGCTCCCCCCTGCCAGTCTCCCCCTCTGACGATGCAAAAAAGTGATTGCATCTATAATTGCATCAGGTTTCCTTTGTGTACTGTTTTTATTGATGTGCACATATTCTCTGGCCAGAGGCCCCAACATCCTACCATGAGAATAACTACCAGTATTCTTTGGAGGGCAGTCTAGGTACAGTTGATAACAAGATGCTCTCATGCTACCAAATAACTTCCAGGGGAAAGACTCCAAAAGTGATGGGCTGACTGAAAGCAGGCAAGCCCTCTGACTGGTGCCTGCTCACAAACCCTGGTGTTCCAAACCCCTTCTAATGTGGTTTTAAAATAAAAAAAGCTTTCCTTAAATTTCCCTAAACTGATGCCTTCTTAAAAGGTCCTGAGTAGTACAAGGAAAATAACAGACATGGATGAGAGGAAAGGGGAAGCATAGAGGAGACAAAGCTGCTCTAAGACTGCTCTCACAGGCAGCCTCCTGGAGAATCTGAGTGATGCATATACAGATTAATGAGCAAATAGGGGTATATCGATGCATTAGATATGGCATAGGTTCTCAAGACTGAACATGGATTTGGAACATACAGAGGTTAGCCAGCTCAAGCTAATATTTGCTTCCTCTAGTAGCTTGGAATGGTTCCTTACTCAATATGCACATAGCAAAGCTAAAGTGATCCCAGAGCAACATTCCAGCTGAACAGAACACAACTTTCGTGTGGGTGGGTATGGTGGGGGCAGGGTGTAATGGCTCTGGTACCAACCACTTTGGTCACAGCCACTTTTGTTCTGGCCTCATCTACCTCTGACATGCAACCCTCAGAATATTGGCCATGAGGAAATGTGGTGCTCATGCTGAATTCCCCCCTCCCATTCCAGAAGGGCTCCTTGGTGACTGCATGGTCCCAGTGAGATTCGAACTAGGGAAATCCTAGCTTGTGACTCATCCTTTTGATGAGTCACACTTATTAACTGTAGAAGATGTCTAGTACCTGAAGGCCAATATCTCTGTATAGAAGACAACCAAGTACAAACATTTAGCCAACTAATTTGTTATCTTTTCACTAAGACAAGTGAGGATGGCAGTGGCTAAAAGCAGGACCTTAACAGTGAGGGCTCCCAAATTCTAAAATCGCTTTCCTTATGGAGGTTACAAAATCTACCTCCTTGCTAAGGTTCCAGGGAAGCTGTGAGGCTTTTGAGTTTTTAGCTGGGTACTTTTGCTGTTCATCTGTGATTTTTGTCACTGTTTTCATTTTTATGGTTCTGTTTTCATATTAATAAATATTTATTTATTTATTTATTTATTTTCTGGTATTACTTTGAAGAAATGCAGTTTATTTTCAAAATAATCACCGGTGCTACCTTGTATTCACCAGTGGGATTTCCCGTAAGAACATTGTTTATGCATTGTTTAGGCAAGCTTAGTGGGTTAAGGGCCTAAGATAAAATAAAATGTTTTTATTTGCACCCCACCTGGCCAATAGGTTTCCCAGGGCCCTGGTGGTAAAGCAAACAATGTTCTTCCCACTGTCTGCAACAGACCTTTCTCATCACATCACATGACAGAATGCCACCCCATGCATTAAGAGCTTCTTTCTTGTTCCATCACACCAGAATATTTTTTAAAGTATTTTTGCACACACGTTAGTCTCCAAGCGGTGAGAGACTCCTGGGGTGCCTGCCCATTCCCATGGCTCAGTTTCCTTGGAATGAAGATCACTGGAGACTGCAGTGCCTTGAGGATATATGGTTTTGTATACACATATATACAACAAAACACAGAATGAACGGGCTCACAGCATTAATCCCACAATCCACCCAAAGATCTTGCTTTTCCACTAAATTTCTAAGGGAAGCCCCCAAAACCATAACCTTGGATTCAGTATGGAGCAAGACAAGTCTTTCTGTATCTTTCCACTTCCCAGCATCAGCCAGCCTCACCCACAAATGAACACCTCAGATCCCAGTCTGCAGTTCTTCTCACTTACAAGACGATGTTGCTTCCATCCAGGTGAGGGGTAGGGGAAAGGGCCACCCATTTGTCTCTGCTGCTTACAGGTCCTACAGTGGTTTGCCTAACAATGAAATTGGTTTGACCAGCTCAGCAAGTTCCCTGTACCACAATCACAGGCTTGGTTGTGATTCACAAGCATCATCTAAACTAAATAATCCTATAACAGTATTGTTGCATGCCACTCCAATCTCCCAGCAGCATTGCTGTTCTTCCCTCCATCTTGACTCAGGCACACCTCACACGCGGGTCCTCCTCCAGGAAACACAAATCCTGCTTCTAAAACCTGTGTTGCACGTCACCCTGATCTCTGAGCAGTACAAGATTTCAGGGGTTCCAGCGCTTACCTAGGGTTCAGTTTCCTCAGAATGAGACTCTGTTGTATGTTTTCTTTACACATGTGTTTTCTTTAGACATGTATACAATGTGAGCCTACGATGGAGGGGCTCACAGCATTAACACCTCAAGAAGGTCTTACTTCTCCCATAATCACAACCATGGATTCCAATCAGAAATCAGGCATGGCTCTGTCCGTCAGCTGCCCAACCTGCTTCTAGCTTCTAACTCACACATTCAACTCTGGCCTTTGCCTTGCTGTCAGGAGTTGACCGGCTGCCGGCTTGAGAAAACAGCACACAAGAGTAATTACAGAAGATTTGTTGCAGACAAGCAATTAGCCTCTGACTGCTCTGTCCGAGCAACCATCTATCATAATCAAGTTGACTCTTCTGAAGAACACTTCCGGATACTGCAGAATATAGTGAACCTCCTCCCCCTACGTTTCTGGGTTCATCGTCTGTCTTGGATTTTCTCCATTCGCCTAGTTCTGGGACTGATAGGGTCATCTACCTCCTCTTCCAGTGAGGAAATTCCCTCCCTTCCTTGTGCCGTGAGGGACTGTGAATCCTCAGAGAGCTGGCTCCCATCCAGCCCGCCTTCCCTATGTTGATAAGCCGCATTCCTGCCAGCTTCGGGGGGGGGGAGGTGTCAGCCCACTGTTTCCAGCTGTCTGGGAACTCTGCAAGACTCTCTGATCTCCTGCTGCCTACCTGCTTTCTACCTCAGGTTGCCCTTCTCGGTTTTGGGCTGTCATGTCCATGACACTTTTCAACGATAAGCCAGTTGAGGGAGTGGGGCCCCACCCATTTGTCTTCTGGCACAGAGCCACTTCTTTTGTTACCTTAACAACACAAACTTAGGGGACCATTACCTAAGTGACCTGGGATAGCTCAGTTTAATAACTGAGTATGAGACTCTTCATCTCAGGGTCATGGGTTCAAGCCCCATGTTGGGCAAAAGATTCCTGCATAGTCCCTTCCAACTCTAAAATTCTATGATTCCAAGTAACTTGTATGGCTATTGTAACAATTGGTTCTTTGTTGGGTCCAGGAATTAGAAGGTGTTCACAACACTATTATCTTTCCCAAGCAAGCAGGCTAACATGACTGAGAAAGACTGTGGAAGGTGGGATTAAATTTATACCACTTTCCAGAGATCATGAGCAAGAGAGTGCTATTGTGCCAGGCTCTGCTTGTGGCCTTCCCAGAGGCATCTGGTAGGCCAATGTTGGAACTGAGTGCTGAACTAGGTGGACCTTTGGTCTGACACAGCAAAGCAACTGTATTATTATGGGACCACTAAATTCCACTCTAGAAATGCTTCAGTATAGCTGTGTTTTGCTCTCCAGGTCTTACTAAAACTTCCAGGATTATTTACAGCTGTGATTTCACAAGATCTGTAATTTCCAGATGGAATTCCAGTGTCCTGGTGAGACAGCTGTGATGTGTGTGCCACAAATCAATTGACAGACCATCTTCTTATTTCCAGCATATGGCAATTTCCAGTCCCACCATTACAATCAGGCATGCCCGTGGTTCTTTGTAAAACACATATTGGTTAGCAGCATCTAATGTCTCATAGCGCCAGGGAGGGGACATAGTAATAGCTGTGTTGTACATTTGACCTATTTCTGTTAAAACGTTTGGCCAAAAGGTATGTACAATGCCACCAAAGATGCATAATTGTAGTATTTTTGAAACCCACCTTGGGACCATTAGAGGAATAACAGTTTTATAAATACAAATGAGAATGAGAGCAAGTGAGTGAAAGAGAGGGGAGGGGACAGTGCTGGGCAAGACAGGCAAAGTGCAGGGACCACCGCCTGTGGCAGATGCTGGCAGAGGCAGGGCCAGTACAGCTAGCCTCCTGGTGGTTCCTTCTGCGCCCCTGGGGGATAGAACTGTGCATGCAACAGGGCCTGAACTGTAACCCCAGAACTAGCCTGTATACTGTATACGGAGGCTGAAAAGATTGCTTGAGCCATGCTCCTTCGTATGTTTTCTGCATCTGTGACCTGGCTCTTGGCCAGAATACAAATTGATAAATGAGCCATTGTCCTCAATTAAAATTTAAAACATACCTTCCACATTTTGGAAGGAACAGTCCTGCTTACTCCTGGAGGGCCTTGGTCTTCCAATCTGCTGCTCATGCTGGCCTTTGGGCATGGACAGGGGTCCATGACATTTCCAGATAATTACACAATTCTGCAGGGCCCATATTTATAAATTGACTGAATTATCCACAGTAGAAACATCTGAAAAAATAACAGGCTCTGGCCAAACAGACTGAGAATGATGTAAAAGCCTGATCCAAAGAATCTTTGCCCAAAAGTAAATCCCACCAATCAATTGCCATCAGTTTTTACCTAATGCAACATTTTCAAAGTGGATTCCTACATAGCAGTGGATTCCTACATAGCAGAAGGGTTTTGAGGAGAGAGAAATAAAGTTTCTGTAAGAGATGAGAATTTTTTCACAACAGTTCAAATCAGAAAACACTAGTGCAAATTTAGAAACTGCTTTGTATTGTGTCAGTTTTGAGGAGACCCCTTCCAGATTTACAATTCTCAGCTCTAGTGCTTTTTTTCTGGCAGTAGCCTAGTTTTGGAAGGATTTTGCCGCAGTTTATGCATATGTAGTGCCTTAAGAGATAACAGAAATGTATATTTGAAGGAGCCCCTCCCTTTATAGGGGGCTCAGACTTTGGAACTGATTCCTCTGAGTCAGCTTGCTGGCTAGCCAAGCAATAAACCTTTTGTTATTCCTCATTTGCTGCATGGAGTTTTCCCTCAGCCCAGACGCTGCTGTTTTGCAACAGTAGCACAGCTGCAGGAAGCTTCCAGTCTGTACCACTGCACCCACTACCACCACTCAGCTACCTCCAAGGCTTGTGGAAGGTCCTTGGCAGGCAGCAGGTGGCTTGGGTCCATGGTGGCAGCAGCAACCAGGCTGGCAGCGCCAAGAGGACTCTGCCTTCCTCGAAGGCCTCGCAGATGGTGCAGAGGTGGAAGGCTTCGCCTGCTGGTAGCAGCAAGCTCAGATCCAGGTGCTTGGTGGGCACTCATCCTGCACTGAGCCCAACCCACAGTGCGGTCTGCTCATGGGGAGTACTGGCACCTTTTTGCTAGAAAAAAGGCACTGCTCTGCACCATTAGCAAACTACAGTTCTTCGGACTGTCAGAGTGCTATAAGAGTACTTTAAATATATCGTGTGGATGTGACTTAAATTCTGAAGTGCTGTAGTGATATTATTATGTGGGAGGTGCAGATCAAGTCATTAGAATTTGAAAAAAATAAAATGCCTCAAGCATCCCTAGTAGAGATCCAAAGGTCTCCCAAGCAGACTTAGGAAAGGAACCTCCGGGACTAATTAAAGCCTCAAAGCAGATGTGAGCTTTGTATGGAATTCAATGCTCCCATTGATTTAAAATCCAAGGCAGAGTAGAATTCCAGGGCTTTAAAAAAATCAGGAGGCGAATAATGATGGACTTTCCTTGGCCTCTCCATTTGTGAAGCCTGTCAAGGTCGCTTCCACAGCTCGGCACATTTCCCCCATGGTGATGCGCAGCGTAAATTAATAATGCAAGTCTTCTTCATTAAAAGAATAAAAGCTTTACTGAGTTAAAATAAACTTGTGTGCAAACAACAGCATAGATTAAACTAACATCAGAGCATACACAGAGTTACTGAGTCACACAGAGTCTCCATTGAGCACAGGCTTCACAGAGCACAGGCTCCACCTTTACACACACAGACACACACACTGACTGAGTCTGCCTGCAAGCAGATACAATACTTATACAGAGAATGAATCATCCTCAAGATGACTCTCAGTGATTCAGCATGCTGAATGATTCTGCAGCTTTTCAGCATTTCACAACATTTCTAGACTCCTTTACTGCTTCCTTTACTGCTTCTGCTCTCACATTTGTCATGTGACCTTTGTCACATGACAAATGGCTCATGACCAGGAAAGATGGGAGTTGTCGTAAGCAACATCTGGAGGGCACTGTGTTGTGCAGGCCTGATCCAGCCTGTTTTTGACTAGTAGTCACTGTCAGTGGCGGAGCATTCCCTGCCCAGGGCAGGGCAGGGCGTGCTGCGGGATTGACCCCTGCCCACTGGAGCAAAGCGGGGCTGCGCTGCATCGCCTACCCAGCCGTGCAATGGAGAGTCCAGCCAGCTGATGCCACCCTGCATTGAGGGATGTGCTCATGGCGCCCTGTGAGCCCTACGTCGTGCTGCAAGACTCACAAAAACAGTGCTGGGCTTGCAGGGCACTGTGAGGTGTTGCGTCCTTCTCACAGTGCCCTCTAGCTCGAGAGCAGGTGAGAAGGACACAACATGGTGGGGCACCCTGCGAGCCCAGTGCCGTGAGCTGCTGCATCCTTCTCACCACACCATGCAACCTCATGCCACTTTGCAGGGTGTCGTGAGGAATGTCCCCCACCCCGCAACTGCACCTGGGGCAAGGACCCACCCCAGCTCCCCCACACACACTACACCTCTGGTTAGTGTTCAGGACCTTAGGCAGAGAAAGTATTCTCATCACCTGCAGCCTGAGAGCCATTTGAAACTGGTACCTTCTGCATGACCTATGGTCATTGCCGCCTTGAAATCCAGCAGTTCCTCTCTGACTTATTGACATAATCATTCCTGGAATTTTTGTTTTGTTTTGCACCGGCTTTTTAGAAAAACAATAAGATTTTTTTTTACAACACCTTTCGCTGCCTAATTTCAACACCACAGGCATTGGTTTAATGCCTTCTCCTACATAATGCAGGAGACCATTATGTTTGTATGAAGAGGAAAGGCTGTTTGTTGTTCTTTCAGAGGCTGAGCAGTGGCCCGCTGTTTCTAAGAGGAGGTGATCTAACTGCCTACAGAACAGAAAGGAGAAAAGAAATACGGGGAAGTGTAAAGTAATTACCATGTTAGTTTCTTTTTCTTTGAATGTATTCTCAGACATGTGCATAGTCTGCACACTTAAGGGTTTTAAAGTGTAAGAGCCCCAGCATGCCTCTTACATTCAGAGGCAAGCTCTTGTCACCAGGAGGCATTATATATGTGTGTGTCTCCTGAGACAGACAGATGTCAACCACTAACTATATCAATTGATCAATGAATCAATAGATCAGTAGAGATAGCTCCTCTAATAATTGGCTCACCACCAGGGTATGCTGCTACAGATATTTCAAATCTCTTTCTACCCTCTGCCTTTGTCCACTTTGGTAATGCTTGTCATCTACCCCTTTTCTGTTGCAGCATTATCCTCTGTGTAATTCCTTATGTGGTCAGTGAAGCACCACATCTCCTGTGGCTTTTCTTTGTATTTGCCTCATTCCTCTTTGACTTCCAGACTCTTCTCCCTCCTCCTCCTCCTCCTCCTCCTCCTCTGTTCCACCTTCTCTCACACATTCATGTGCACTTCCTTGCTTATATTCCAGGACACACCTTCTCATCCTCATTCTCTTGCTCACTTACTCTCACTTGCTTCCATTCACCTTTTCTTCTCTTTCTCACTGCTTCTGTCACTCCCACACTAGAAAGGCCATTATGTCTGTCATTCTCAACAATCGAGGATAAAAGTGGAGGAGCCAAGTATCTCATGGCTGGCTGCTAAAGTGTCTCTGTGGTCAACAATAGCCTTCAGGAGATCTGGGTGGACCTGCCTCCCATCAAAACCAGCAGCCCTCTCTTCCATCTGTGCAGAGAGCATCATCCTGTGCCCTCTGCTCCATCTTCCCACTTGTCAATGCAAAAAGCAACATTTAGGCATTACTCTTTGGTGTCAACTAACAATCAGTACCCTTGTTGCTGCTTCCTTCTGGATAGCCACTCTGCTTGTGGCCTCAGAGGCAATAGGTATTTCAGCACTTAAGGTGATTTCCATTTCATACTTGGAACCCATAAATGGATATCAATATATATGGATATCAAGTATGAAGGTAGAAGCACTGCACATCAAGCATAGGAAAGAGACCTTGTGTTCCCATTTACAGAAGATGCTTGGGGAAGTATATTGCCTGGCACTCATACTAAAATTAGTACACAATTGACACCTGCCTCGAGTGAAACTCAGTCATGCTCATACCTCACTTTCCCCACTTTGATGTAGGGGTTGTGAAGCCTTCGGCTGATATATGCAACTACAGTCAAATTGCAAGAAAGTGAAGGGGTTCTGGCTTAAGGTATTTTAGATAATTGGGCAGGTGACTAAACAAATGATCATCCCAGATCAGTCTTCCCCTCCATTTTCCAGGAAGGACTGGCAATTCCCTGGTGACAAAACTGAGTGGCTATGTGACTCAAGATAGTCAAAAATGGATGGACGTGGTGGGACTGAACATCTTTCATTGAAAAATTGGCAAACCAGGCTATTGCAATTTATCCTTGACAAGAATGCAGGAAAGCTTGCTGGGAGACCAACTCTGACAAGCTTGAAGTGATCTGGTACCTCTTTAGCTACTTTGTTAAGGAAGGGGATTCAGATAGGAGACTCCCCACAGCATCCCTCTTATTTTCGTTGGCTGTTTCATTGTTCAGTGTCTCCTATCTCCAATCCCCATTTGATCCTGTAGCCTTATTGGAATTCACCAATTGGGTCTGTGTTGCTCCGGGACAGGAGGAAGGAAGTCAAATGACACCTGAGGTTGATTCAAAGAAAGAGTTTATTCTGCTCTCCGGATAGCAGAAGGCACTTGCGTGATCAAGTCCACAGCAAGTCCAAAGAAATGACAAGTTTCATGCAGTATATATATCCTCCAGGCACCCTCTCCCTCCTTCCAACCACGTCAGCTTGTATACGTAGGTTGACATCACATATGTTCCTGCTCCGGCACTCTTAACCATAAAAGGGATTTCCTTCCTGCACTCCTGACCATAAAAGGATATTCCTGTTCCTACTCCTATCTTGGAGCAAGAGGTCACTACTTCCGAGAACATGCTCTGGCGTTAGTCCCAGACTTGGGTCTCTGCGTCATTTGTGGTCAGGACATAAGATATGTCTGTGTCTGTTCTACTGGTAAAGTCAAGGCCAGTCTTGCCATCAAACTGATAAGGGAGAGCTGTGTTCTTGTTTTGCATTTGCTCAACGGCTAAAGTTTATGCATTTTAGCTAAGGAGAAATGGGGATTTTGGTGCAGTTTAAAAACTGCCTGCACAGTCAGTTTTGGGTTTTGGAAACCCATTCCTTCATTCCCTACTCTTCTTTTGGACAGCCTTTCGGCTCATCCCAAGGTACTGGCCGGTATTCTCGTGTCAGTGCTGTAATCTGGGGCTGAATCATTTGTAACATCATTTTATGCATCATATTTTGCAGGCATTGCATTAAGCAGGGTATACAGGAGCAGAAAAGAAGCAAAATTAGTCCATTAACATCATTACAAGTCCTCTAAGCCACCCAAGGTTCAGAAGCCACTGAGTCAACCAAGACATGTCCCATCCGTTCCAGTTTGGGACAGGAACATGGGCTACTTTCTCTCTTTCTGTTGCCAGGTGTCGAATAGCTACACCATGGTCAGAGATGTTAAAGCCACAGGCTCCTTCTGTCAAATTTAACGCAGCCCAAAATCCGGCGGAAGCCAAAATCGGGGCCGTAACTGAGGACTCATTCCAAGGCACAGGGAGGAGGGGTACTCCTCCCAAAGCATCTGTAGGTCACAGAGTGCAAGAGGTTCCGGGTGCAGACCGTGCAATTGGTTCGGTTTTGCAGAATAGGCTTCCATTTCTGCGTGTTGCGGGCACCCCATTCTCTCATTAGTGGTTACCTTAAGTGGTGTGGGCACGGCGATGGCCAGAAATTAGAAGACTACCATCCTGGCTAAAACCATGTCCCCCCACAGTCCTACCTGCATCATTTGGGCACAGGGATATATCTATTTCCTAATACCTTCTTTTTCTAACACCTGGGGTACCTCCCACAAAGCTACATACAAACCTATATATTCAAAGGGAAAGAAAATAAAATGTCCTCTTTTAGTCCATGCTGGATTCTTCTTTTGCCGTGCGTAAGTGGCACCAGCAGGGCAGTCGTCTGGTGGGCGCCGAGCCGATGCGGTGAGGAGAAGCGTGAGGCGGCGTCTGTAGGGTGAGTCGAAGGGGTTGGTGTAGATCAATCGTAGCAGTCCAATCTGATACTGCCTGGGGTTTGCTTCATCCTTCAAATCAGGCCTGCTGGAATATATGCAGTCAGGTGTTGGAGGCCCATTCTCTCCCATAGGTGGTGGCGTAACCAGGTTAAGAACCTCAGTAACTTGAAGCTGCAACTGCGGGTGCATGAGCAGTGCTTGGCAAAGGGAGATAGAAAAATAAGTTCCTTTCATGTCCAACAATGCTGGCCCAGCGTGAGGAGTGACGCACGTGGTTTCCTGTCCAAAGGTGAACTTGTCAGCTTTTGTAATCAGAGTGGCAGCAGTCACTGCTGTTCGCATGCAGGGAGGCAAACCTTGTTTCGTAGTGGTTAATTTTTCAGACAAATAGGCTATGGGTTGGTCATCATCAGGGTCTAACAATTACCTTGATAGAATTACCTTGATAAAAAACATATTTCGCCATGTGCAAATGGCTTTGGATACCTACTAGGTCCACAAATCACCATATAGCATATATTCAATACACACAAGAAAACGACAATTTGAGCCCAACAAAGGACTGCTGGACATCCAAAGGGCCCCATTACCCCGTTAATGCCTTCTGTTTCTTCAGCCAATTCCTATCCCTGTACTCTGCTGCCCTCAGGACCAAAGCCCACTTTATCACCATATGATCTTATATACTGAAACACCCTTTTGTACTGTCCTTTTGTCCACTTCACCTCCTTTTCTTAGGTCCTTTCTAAATTCTTCAGTCCCAACATCATCATTATTATTATTTTTTCCCTTCTCATCCTCTCTCTCTCTCTCTCTCTATCTATCTCTCTCTTTTTGACACTGACACAAAGATGAAGTATGTTAACAAGGTGACACAGGTGATGATCTGGCATCTGAAATCATTCACACAAACAGAAAGCTTAAAAACACACACAAAAAAACCATGTACCAGATGCTGGCTCTCTTCTCCAGGGTTAAATGTGATTGTAGCATATACACACAAATTGCAAGCAGAAATTAAATCACAAAAGAATGAGATCCTCTTGGAAGGTAGCATATTACCGTGATTACCCTTCCCTTGCCTTTTAAGATATGCTTCTGTTTTAAATTCTTTCTGCAGAATATTCACTGTGAAAGGGGGTTCTGTTGGGCTGCATTTGAAAGTTGATTGACCTTTTTGATAAACTGTAGGACAGTCCTTCCCAGTTTCCCCCTATTATTATTTATTATTTATCTGCAAATAATTTAATCCTTGATATACATATTCATGTACTTAATTGACTTGGGACAGTGGTTCAGTTAAATTAGGGTACAGCAATAGGCTAAGTGTCACCTGCTATATGGCTCAATTTTCTTATAAAAAAATCTGATAACAGTTTGAAAGGGTGCAACTCAACTTTTAACACCAATTTTTTGCATTTCTATTCAATTCAATCCTATATATATATTAGATGGGTGGGTCGGGGGGGGGGTTGAGAGAGCAGGTACCACGACACTGTTTAGGGGAAAGGTTCCTGCTTGTTCCTTTTCATAATGTGAAACTAAATATCTGACCTACAGCACTAGGAACATTTTAGGGAACACCACCATGTCGGAGAAGGCTACGAAAGCATATGACATCAGCAGCCCTAATAAGAAGTGCCTGATAACTTTCATATTTGAAACCACAAAAAAGGCACAAACCACACACGAACAAATACAGACAGTGGGGCCTCTTGCTTGGTGTGTGTTATTTGCGTTATGAATTAAGGTCCCAGTTTCCCAATACACACAATTGCTATTTCACCCCAACACTCTTCCAAAATGGATTCACACATTCATGCATTCAGTTGGGTCAGTGTTCACATCATCCTGTTTTACTTAGCATTTTGGTTTGAAAACCCAATTCCACTTTCTCTGCACTTCCTGCAAGATTGTATATTATTAAACAATAAAAGGCACAATTTTCCAAGAGAACATATGTCTTGGAGTTGCATATAATCCCCACCAGGCGTCAGAAACTGGCAGATATTACTTGGAAATTTCAAACTTAATGCCCAGATAACTCATATCTTTTCCCCCTGGGTGGTCGCAAATATAAACTTGAAAGTCTTTTGATACATTCATATGAAAGTTCATTTACACCTTACATACTTCAGATAGAAATGGTTCTGTAAAAAATGCAGTTATAATCAGAACACAAAATTCTTCCTCTTCCAATTATTCACCATGGTTCAGTAGCATACCAGTTCATTCATTGTACATACTTTCTCCATTTACTTTAATACATCAATTTGCATGCAAACATTAAAAATCACTTTTCCTTCAAAGGAATCATACATAAGGTAACTTTGTTCAATATTGCCTTTCACCCAAGGGAAACCTAGGAGGAATCACCTACTGGGTAACTGTATCAATAAGCATTCGGGTATTTTGTCTATCAACATCTTGATTCTGCTGTTACTAATGCATTTGACACCTTTTGATTCTGGCAACTACCCTGAGTATATTTGTGTCTCAGAACAGGAAAATTTCAAAACATTGGACACTTTCCACAGCCTAATGTGAACAGGGAAATAAAAGTTATTTTGCCTAAGACCTCTCCTGGCAGGTACACTTAGAAATCAAAAAGGCCCATCTCGGACTTCCTGTTTCCAGCGGTGTAAAATGGCTGATCCCACACAATCGGACTTCAGCCGTTCCGATAATTCAGGGCTGATATGGGGGTAATTAGCCCTGGCAGCCTCCCCAGGGCAGGGGAGGACTGTCTCAACGACCCGCGGTCTGCCCCAGATTGCCGATGTGGCAGATGGCAGGGGCACTGGGTCACGGAGCTAGGGACGGCTGACACTCCTGCGACGCCACCCCATAGCCTGACGCATCTGTTTGGGAAAATATAAAGATTTGGAAAACAAACAGACACGCTCTGAATTGAAGAAGCTGGAAAAAACCTGCAGTATGTACAGTCTCTGGTGCAAAAGATCGAACTTCAAAGAGATCCTCATCATGACGTTTGGAATGTGGAGGGGCTTGGTATGTAAAAAAACCATTCTTTTATCCTTAACATCAACAATCCGTAATGCATGCCAAGTCTCATTAAGAACTTAAATTGCTCTTCAAAAAGTGAGTTCAGATGGACTTTCATATATAATTGGGATCTACTCACAGCCACTTCTCTTCTAAGTCCGGAAATGTCTGTTAAAGACGAAAACAAAGGACAAAGGACAAAATGGCGTCTCCCACCACGTCGTTATTGAATATCTGAAATACTTCCCTGATTAAGAGAAACAGGAGCTAACGGATGGTTGGTTATAAAGACTGGAAACAATATTACATATACAACTGTTTGCAAAAAGATGTTTTTTTGATTACGAGCAAGAGAGAGGGCTAAATGGATGTCTGGCAGACCCCCTCTAGGGCCCGGAGGGAGGACTGGGAAGATTCCAAAGGCCAATTGCTAACTGTCTGATATATGGCTACATTGCAAACAGTCTGTTTAAGATAAATCAACAAGGAGGGTACAGAAGGAAATTTCTCTCTGTTTCTTTGATAACACCTGGACGGGAAAGATTAACGATCTGGGAGCTGCCAAAATAACAACTCTCAAAGAGCTTGACAAAACTTTGAAATTGGATGCAAGTAAATGAAGCGGTGCGATGAAAAAACAGCTGAAGGAGTACAATATACGGACAAATCTGCACTCCATAGAAGAAAAAAAGTATCGGTTTTCTGACATGAATGAGGATCGTAGAACCAGAGTCAAAATGTGGAAGGGAAAAATCGGACATGGAATTATGAATAACATTGAGGATGATGAGAGGCAGGACTATGATGTTGAATGCGCTTCGAAATTCAGACCGTGGGAAGTCAAAACAAAATTATTACAATTTGGAAGACAATTGGACCTTTTTTATTTTAGTTTTTTATTTTTATTGGATCTGATTTGATATGTTAATTGGATGTTTTTATTGGAAAATTAATAAACGCTTTTTTAAAAAAAAGGCCCATCTCAATTTTCAATTAATAGATATCCAAGGAGTATCTTTCATGGGAGGGACATACTAAAAAGAGCACAAACAATATTCCAGGTCCCTACTCTTGCTGTTAATTTATGGATGGTTAGCTGTCCAGCCAGCCAAAAAGAGGGCTGACCTATAATATATTATATTCTTAATTCTTAATTCAGAATTCTTTAAAAGCTGGTTTTACTCATGAAAACCTCAACCAAGAATCTGATTGCATTTTAACAGCACATGCAAGACTTTGACACCAGTGTGTCGCTGGTCACACACACCCTTTATGCAAATCAGCTTTTACTATATTTAGTAAACTCTCTCTCAATAATAGCATCTTAATATATTACTTTCATTAATACTCATCAGCATAAACACTCAACCGTCTTTACAGCCCATTACCCAACTTTTCTCCTGTCCCAACATTCTCACTTTTCTCCTCTCTCTACCTCCCACCTTCTTTTCTACTTCCCTCTACCTTCTTTCTCCAGCCCAGACCACTACTTCACCTTCTGCATAACATTTGGGACACAATTGTTCATCCCTTTTACAAATAAAAATTATACACATTTCAAAAATATATCAGAAGAAAGGTAGTGCAAAAATCAATTTTGGTATCAAATAGTGTGCTCATCCTTATTTTAAACTGAGCTGAGATTTATAATAAAATCTAACTTGCACGCCTCTTTAAGTTTTAAAACACAGGTCTGCAAATATTGCAAATTCCCTTTGCTGTTACTTGTAAAAGTATGTCAAATTTACAGAACCGCCTCTATGATAACAAAAAGAGGTCATATGTTTAAATGACACAGGTACTCTTGCTCATGCTCTGGGGGCTGGCATGCCATGCAATATTTAGTAATTTTGTAATTTTCCTGAGTGTTCTTTGGCTCCATTTTCTGTGTTTAGCACACACACACTGCAGGGGTACATTTGTACATTTTTACTTTTGATCAACATTTAACAAGTGGTTTCTAAATCACCCAGGGTACCTGTACCTATGCAACAGAGTCAATAAGAAACAAACTTTTAACAAAAATATTAAGATATCAGGTAGCTCAAAGCACAGTGAATTGATGACACTCAAATTCTGAAACCAGTACATGATTACATGATTGTATTAGTAATTGAAACCTTCCCACCTTTAACATGAAAATAGAAAATTTGACCTCATGAGCAACTCATGTCACTTTTAAT